GAAGATAAGCCCGCTTGGGAAAATCGTAAGTCCTGTTTTTGTAAGGGATGAAAAAGGGAGCTAAAATCTAAAAGGAAATACTCATTGTGTAAATGGAATATGTCAGCTCAATAATACCTGTGTCTATGATCAGTTTTTGCTATCAGTAACTTAATTTTTTAATTTGTGCTCATGTGTGACGTCTGCTAGTCTCCCTCCTGAGCATGAGTCCCTGGAGGTTTCTTTCTGACAACGGGATCTTTGTATATGAAAAAGCATTTACTTTGCAGGTTAGATGTAAAGCAGGGCAATTTCCCCATTGTGTTTCTGTTCTGTTCTGTTCATTACCTAATATTTACGTCTGATAGTTCTGTTTATATTGTCAGATCCGGAACTGTCAGTCTCCATCTCAGGTTGCCATGACACTGAGCTTGCAGGGGGTAGCAATATTGGCAGAGTAATGGAGCAATGTGAAAATTAAGTGTACTTCCAGTGATGGTAAAGGCATATTGTTTTTTCTTTTGTAATTAATAATGTTAAAATGGAGAATACACATCCATCAATGAATATCTACGTGAATGCATCTTCAATTTAGATACATGATGAGAACAGAGAAGACATTCTGAATTACAGTGGCATTTAAACAATAGAAGGCGGCTTTCTCCTGGCAATTCATTTGAAAATCTAAGGAAACTGTAGAAAGAAAATAATAGCCAGTTATTTGAAAAGAGTAGAAATTTGATTTATGCACTTTCAAGGTTTGAAAAAAACCCACCAAGGCTTGATGACATCCTTTTAGTTTGTTAAAGTACAGGCAGCTTTGCAAATAGTCACAATCCATGGGGCTTCATAGCAAATTTCTGTATTAATGGAACATTTACACGTAGTTACAAGGCAGCCTTGTATATAACAGAGTGGTCTAGGTATGCCAGACAGCTGTGTGAATAGTCTCAGCTACATATTTATTTGACTATAGAATATGATTATATTTCCTGAATAGGTCAGTGGCTTATAAGCAATAGGAATTTTATTGCTTATTATGTTGTTCAGTAGTTACCAGATATTCATAAACTCTTTTTTTTTTTTTTTTTTTTTTCCAATTTTTCAATATGGGTTATTTTTCCATTGCAGGTTTTTTTTTACGTATCTTCTTCCACACAGTGCTCCATCCTCACTAAGACCCTTACTGGATAAGATAGTCAATGCGACAGGTAATCGCAATAAACGTGGTAATGCCAAGTAGTTCCTTTTTTGGTGTGACTGTCATATTTGGGGTGCGGGGGATGCTGCTTTTATGTTCTCTGCAATAGTTCACTGGGGTGAACTTCATCAGAGTGCAATTCCTTGTGGGATCTGGAGGAGCCCGCGTCTCTGGCAAGGTGAATTTTAATGATAAAACCAGGATACTTCCCCATTGCAAAGGTACCAGTGGTGCTTCTATACCTCAGAAGCCAGAGGCAAGTGACATTACCGTAGATCCTTATTAACTACCAAGGTTGCATGTGCCTGTAAATCTGATTTGAGGGGTTTTGGCGCATTGTTCTGGGGCTTTTATACCTTGTACCATGTGTATTCAATGGGGAAGTTAATGATGCTGGGCTATAACTAATTAGCAAGCAAAGCCTTTGGAGTTCCCTATATTGGCTGAAGTTCATCCCTCATGAGGAGCTCACCGCGGTGTTTTCTGCCCGCAGGCCTGGGGTTCCCAGCTGGATGAGCCAGTCTTTGACATACCTGGCTCATGTCAGGTATGAAACCCCATTCGTGGTAACTCATGGACTTCATGTCCACATCACAACACCGTTGTAGAGCAGGGCACCGCTGGGCTCTGATGCTTAGGGCTTTCTTCCAAGGCAACCTTATTTTCTCCTGTGCAGCTTGCTTCTCATCTAACTCTTTTTTTTGTTGTGCTTTTAAAGGAGAACTTCACTGGGGAATAGATGAGACAGCAGCTCAGCTAGAGAGAGTTTTGAATCTGTATAAGAGTGGAGAGTACCTACAGAACACGACCCGGATGCCGAAAACTGGTAAAGTAGTCTTTCTTGAAACTTAAAAACTGAGACTCTGCTTTGTCTTTTATTTGAGGTTTGAAAGGGCAAATGTGCAGAAAATGGGGCTCAATGGCCCTTGAAATCATGCATGTGATAATCTGTTGTCTGCTTTTTGCTTCCCGGTTGCCTTCTGAAGCCCTTCTTACACAAGGAGGTAGCTGGACATCCATAGGTGTGAGCAGGCTGTAATGGGGATAAGGAAACCCAACAGAGCGTTGCTCTCCATAGCAGATCTGTGGAAAAGGTTTTCCATCACATCCGCACACTTCTCTGCTGTTGGAGTATCAGAACCTCCCCAAACACGAGTTGGGGGGAATCTAATCAAGATGCCATAACCCTCCATTCATTTCCTGGGACTTACAGGAATTTCTTCCTACATAAGCACTTGTAGATTGGAAGAATAAAATTTTTGCTTGCTTTGCAAGAGAAAAATAATGTGTTCCTCAGCTTCTGCTAGCAATAGAATAAAAAAGAAAAAAAAGGACAGGATGAAAACAAAGTGGCACGATAGTGTCTTTTTCATAAAATCTCTGCAGCACCACAGGTATGTAAAATGCTATTCAAGCAGCTATGATATGGAGGGATGCATGTTCTTCCCGGAAGGATAGCTTGTGGAATTAAACACGTCAAAGAAAATTATGTATGATGGAAATGACTGTTAAGTCTAACAATTGAAAGAGCTGTTTTGCAAATTATTTTTGTGTACGTACAATATTCATGTCAAACTGTCAACGTAACTGATTGCAGGTTGATAGGAAAATTATGGCTTTGCTGCAAAAGCTCCGTAAAGAGGGAAAGATGGGTTCTAAATGAAGACGAATGTTGGCACAGTGGGTTTGAAAAGTTCAGTGAAGCATTTGCTCCATGAAAGAGAAATGTGAGCCAAATTCGTGCCTGTCGTAGTGCTGTTAGCCTCAAAGGGCCATGACACCGAGGATGAATTTGACCCCCTTATCAGAATAATTCAATATTTATTTTGTTGTAGAATTGGCAGGAAAATTGTTGCAGGTGTTCATTTAACTTTCTAATTTTCGGCTTTTCATCACAATCTGTGCTGAGTGAGGCCTGTCAACACAGCAAAGTTATTTTCAGCAGTACAATCCATAGTACAAACACGTGCTTTGTTGAGGAAGTGCCCAGGAGGGCTGAAGTTTTTCTGTGATACTGGTTGACTCCAGATTTAACTGCCCTATCAGGACAAGATGAAGTTTTGAATTTTAGAGGGCTGTCGTGTTCATAAAGAATCTCAGGGACTGAAGCTTAGGACAGCGGTAGTAAATGTAACAGTGCAGCTTTCTACTAATACGGAGCAGAGCTGCATCTGTATTTGGCTACTGTAATAATAACACATTTTTGTGTTAGTTTAATTCTGTAGAGTCCTGGATAATGTAACACAGAATCCACTACCCATGTTCACGGTTTGTAACGGACTTCTGTGCAAGTAGCCCTTTTTATTTGTAGGATGCTGCTTGTGGACTTAGGCACTCTACAGCATGAGCAAAGACGTTGAAAATCCATAGATGCTTTGTGTAACATATTTGGCCAGTCTACAATAAAGACCATGAGTGTAATACTGAATTCCTTGACTGGAAAATGTTCTCAACTGATGGGAAGCCTTGAGGAATCAGATATCTTAGTGGAAATTACACTTAGATGAGATGTGTTTTCAGACCTAGCTGCCATGCCTTTAAGATGTGCAGGCCTGTTTCTTGTTTGTTCTAAGGCTACATTAACCAAACAGAAAAGGGGTTGTAATTTATTTCTATTTTAAGGCTCCCTTTCCGTGCCAGAAAAGTATGAAGACGTTACGTCATGCAGGTGAAAATAGGCCTACATACTCATTCATATCACTTTTATTCTGAACACATTCCTTCCTCAACCAGTATTTGATTGGTAATACCATCCTAGAATTAATTTTTAATATTCTCAGTCCAGAGATTGTGGAATTAGAAATTATCAAGAGATTATGGAATGAGAAATTCTCCTGCAATATGGGAGAGTTGCAGGAGAGGGTGACAGTGGTGCTGGAAAGGACTGGTGTCCAAGTGACCAACCTCTTCCCATTGGCAGGACCTTCTCAGCTGAGCTGGTGTCCTGACCAGCGAAACCAGGGCTGAAATGCTGAGCAGGTCAAATAATTTGTGTAAATCCTGGTGGGTGGGGGGGGGAGAGGTGGGTGTGAAGAGGGACAACTGTGATACTTTCCCAAGCTGTCAGCTGAGGTCTTGCTTTGGCCCTATTTGAGGTCTAGGAGGGCACTGTGTTACTCTCTGAAAGCAAAGAAAAAATACTTCTAAGATTGTTGGATTTTTTAAAAAACTTTTCTGCCTTGCTCTACAGCATCATGAAAGTTCAAGGAGAGTGTTTTCCAACCTAGTGCAAGGTTAAAATAAAACTAGAGATGATGGTTCAGTTGTTAGGCCAGATCAGAGTTAATCAGAACTTTGCATTCATACGCCTCTGTGCCAAGATCAGGCAGGCACAAGTTTGCATCGATTTTGCTCCAGGTGAAGTCTCACAAGGTGATGGGGTCCCAAGATTTTCTCTATCTCAGGCAGTAGAAATGACAGGAATTAATGATGCCAGTCTTCTCTGGCATCTAAAGGGCTGTGACAAAATAAGGTCTTTCTGGTGTATCATCTATTTTGAAATACTGGAAGCAGAGCTGGAGGAGAATTCAGATCCAAAAATCACAAGATTTAGTTTTGGTTTGGTTTTTGGCAAAAAGAAACCACAGAAGGTTCAGGTTACGGTGCTTCAGAATTTACCTTAGGTCTAAATGCTTTGAATTGTCTGTTGTCTTGGATAGAGCATTGTAAATTCGTACTAAGAAAGAAGAGATCATGATCCTGGGCAAGTGACCTAAGGCCATAACTAGAATATAAAAATTGAGGAAACAGTCTGTTATCTATCTGAACCTATGTTTTTGAAAGGAAGACCTCCTCCTATGGACGCTGTGGAGTGAGAAAGGCGATATTGATAATCAGTAGGGAAGTGACATGAAGAACATTCTTGTCAACCCTAGTGTTCCCATAAATAAAGTTTAACAAGATGACATAGTCATATTACAGAAGGTCTTGGATATTAAGCTTTCACTGTGCTTCAGTTGTAAAAGATTTTATAGAGCTGTAAATTATATTATGCTCTGGACTTTGCTTTAGTATCTTAGAAACAGAGTAGAGGCACGGAAGACATTCGATAGCTATGTATGTGTTCTGTAATCATAAATCACATTACTGTTAATGTTGATATGGGAACATTACAGTGTTTAAAACAACACCATGAGCAAATACTTCTATATTCCATTGGCTGTTGGTCTGTCTTGCTGGAATCCAGAAGAATGTGAATTAAAGCAGGAACTGTGTATTTGTTCTGACATCCGTTATCTAAAAATTGTTAAATTGTTCCATTAATTATCCAGATTAAGAAGACTATAAAAAAAAATCTACTGATGTTCATCAGTAAAGTCCTGCCCCAGTATCAACATTTTTATTACTTCAATCAAGTGACACTGATTTGTACCAACTGGGTGTCTGGCCCTTGAGCTAAGCCCCAGCCTTTCAGTTAACTCAGAATTTACTCAGAAATGCGTGAAATCAGCTAACACTAGTAAATCCGATAGCTTTGTTATTCATTAAAGCTAATAGATGACCCATTATTAGGCCTGAGGGTGTGCAAGCCCACAGAAAGGCGTAATTAGCTGCCGCTGTTAGTGAAAAGTACATTCTCCGTGCTAAAAAGGCTGGAAGGCTGGACATAAAGCAAAGACACTTCATGTTTTCCTTTGTCTTAAGACAATTTGGCAGGGTTATGCTGTATGTAAACATTTACAGTACAACAGTGTTTTGAAAAAATATTCCTCAGGGTCACTATAGCAACTTGCTGAGGAAACTGTAAATCCACCCAAGAATTATTGAAATTGGGCCGGTGTGGGGGGTGTGTGTTTGTGCACGTGTGTATGTGCAAGAGCGAAATTTTGCCAGGTTGCTGGAATATTGTTTGAGGCAGTTTGTGTGTCCTGCGGCAGGGCACGGTGTGAGGGCTGGGAGGACGCTGCTGAGGGCGCTTGAAGGCTCAGCTGGGAACATACTGCAGCCCAGTCCTTGCAGCCCGGGTTCCTGCTTTATCTGGCACGTGCGCCTTTGGGGTTTCTTTCCCAGGGACATCAAGGCTGCTTCGTGGCCAGCCAAGGGGGAAAGGTGCCCAGGGCTGGAAGCGCGGGCAGAAAGTCTCCCTCTGCACCCTGCCTTGCACAGAGGCTTTTGCATCGGCAGCTGGGCAATCCCAGCACACAGAGGAATGCAGGAGCAGGTTCCTTTGCACCCGTACGGCACTGGAAATATGTACACAGATAGCTGTATAGTGACTGGTCATTGCTCACATTATCTCCCCTGTTGTACAAACCATAGACTCTATTCACTGAGCAACGTGTTCTGCTGTCGCTAGACTTCTCTAGGTCTAGCTTGGCAGTGTACAGCAAAATGCTTTCTGCTGACCGGATAGGTCCTCGGCGCCTTTCAAGAATGCTGAAGAAGTCACTGAGTGACTTTTACCAATCCTCTAGGCATCTGTTTTTAAGCTTAAATACCCCGCACACATGACCCTAGACACCTTTGGCTCCTCCATCATCAGCATCATCATTTTTATGCCACTTAACAAGCACCTGTGGCACTAGTTTGGGCTAAGCACCTTCAGTAAATCGGTGTGCACCGCAGAGGTGGCGGTGGGTGCCGAGCAGCTCCGCATCCCGGTGAGCTGCCCTGGGATGTGGGGCACGAGGCGGGAAAAAACGCTCCAGCTGTGTTATGTTAACAGGAATAAAATGCAAGGGAACATGTCGTTCTTCTCCTTATTTATTTGTGTTTCGGTGACAGCCTGCATGCTGATTTAAATATGGCTCTACTGTAAGCACAATAGAAGCGTATAAAAAGCGGCAAGCCTTAGCCTTACCCTGCTTCCAGCCTGCACGCAGGGAG